CATTTCCATCAGGTGGGCAGCAGCCAGGGCCGCGTCCACTGAGACCGGTGAGGACCCTGCTTCTCTGCCCTTCGCTGTTGGCTGTGAGAATTCCTGATTCAAAACAGGACAAGGGCTCTGCCTCAGGGCCAGGGCCCTGGACGAGGCAGCTGCAGCCGCCATCTCGGTGGCTTTCATTTTTAACTTCAGCAACACACCAGTCAGGTTCACTGATGTTCAGAACCAAACATCACGCACAGGTAAATGAATGACAGGACTGTTAGTAACAATTCTCTATTTATTAAAAAGGGTCCCACAGCCTCACAACCACAGCTCAGACATGGCCCTGAGCAATGGCGTGGCCGGCCTGGCAGCCCCTTCGCCACGTCCACACGGAGCCCATGTCAGCTGCGTCCTGCTCAGCCACAGAGGTATGGGGTGGGTGGCACTGCTCTCAGGGTTCACAGAACATGGCAGGCGCCCCTGACTGGCATGGCAGCAAATGGTCCTAAACAGCTCTGTTTCTCTGAAAACAGGTATGATACAGTAGAGTTCAAGTCCAGGAGAACTGTGTGGACACTGAGTACAAAGGTGGTGGCCTCACCCGTGGCCACTGGGACAGACCGTCTGAGCTTCGGCAGCAGTCAGGAGTTCCCCACTTGAGCACCTGGCCTGTTTGTCCACAGGTAGGTGGTGACACCCCCCAACCTCGGAATTTAGCACGTGGGGCACCTAGAGGGGCAGGAGGAGGGTCCTAGCTTGGCACCCTCTCTCTTCCCAGGGCCCAGCCAGAGGCTGAGAATATTGGCTAAGAGGACGCTGGTTCAGGGCACGAACTTCTTACAACACAGCGTGACGTGCCCTTCCTGAAGGCAGCTGGGGGCTGCAGCCACCCCATGGCCTGGGGCAGCCCCCATGGCACCAGTGAAGCTGTGCACCCAATGCCTGTGACAGGATTCATGTCACCTACACTTCCATCTGCTCAAAACAACATGTGCATTTTTTATAAAGTTTCCCTGAATGGTTTTGTGTCAAAAAGTTTTCTTCCCCAATATAAAACAGGAAATTTACACACGTAGTAAAAATATTGGAGTATTTCTTCATAGAAACCCTGGGACCGGCTGAGGGGGGGTGGGGGGAACTGGGAGGACAGCGATGTGCAAAGTCCAGCTCCGCCCACCTCCACTGGGCAGTGGGCCAAGTGCAAACCCTGCGGGTGGCTTTGAAGGACTGAGGTTTTGGGGGAGGGGGGGCTGTCATCCCACAGACTCAGTGAGCACCTTCTGGGCTGGCCCCTCGGCCGACCCTCACTGGGCTGGGGCAGGCTGGGACAAACCGTCGTGAAAATAAAGCAGAAACCAGGAACCATGCTGACCGCAAAAGCTGCGACGGGAGGACCATGATTCTAAAGGGGAGGGAGGGCAGCTTCCCTAGGTTCGTGAGCTCACAACACAAACCGCATGAGAATGGAGACTGCAAACTGGCACCAGCACGAACCAGGGCCCCACACTACTCACCCCATCTAGTGCTCACAGCAGACGCCACGGGGCCCCGGGCCTCGCTCCCTCCCAAGTGTGGGCCCGGCCAGCAGGCTGGCGCGAGTCTCCCAGGACGGATGGACGAGGGACCCTCACTGCAGGATGAAGCCTGGCTGGTGAGGCAGCCGCGGCGGGGGTCTCTGGGGGAGAGGTGGTGGGTATGGCGACACAAACTGCGTGGGGAGGCCCATGCGGGGGGGCAGGGGAGGGTACAGCGGGGCCTGTGCTGAGCCCATGGCAGCGGTAAACGGGGTGGCTAAGCGTCCTGCAGGCACAGGGGGCGGGATGCGCCGAGGCATGACGGAAGGGGGCCCGCTGGCCTCCGGGGCGGCGGGCACTGGCTCCGGCACCCTGGACGACGGTGGGGCCGGGGCCTGCGGGAGTCTCTGTCCCTTTAGCACCATCTCCTGCAGCTTCTCGATCTTCACTCTCCGCACGTGGGCCAGTTTCCGCTGGCTCTGGTAGACGTCAATGAAAGAGTCCAGAGGCAGCTCTCCCTCAAGAAACTTCTCTGCCATGTCCTGAAAGCAGCAGGGGACACCTGGTCACAGGGACAGCCCAGCCCTGGGGGAGGGCTCTCCCTCCACCACCCAGCAGCTCGGAGAGGCACCCCAGCTTCCTCCCAATTCGGGCCCTCCTCCGGTCACCGCAGCTCCATCCCCCACCGCTCTGCACGGCAGGCCTGGCTGACCCCACGGGCCCACCTCTCAACCACAAACTGGACGGCAGTAGGCTGGGGAGAGCCGGCCTCAGGCTGCAGGGGGCCCCGCGGCCCGGAGAGGACAGCACCGCGCCCAGTTCCAACCCTCTCCTACGCCAGCCCAAGCCGTCTGCTCCCTCCACTGGCTGCATCCTGACACACGTGGGCTCAGCAGGACCGAAACTAGCTTGTGCCCACCCGGGTCCCATCTGGACCCCTATGCCAGACTCGCAGCTACAACTGTCCCCCAGACTCATC